TTGCTACTGGTACCACCTCTGCTTAACACTCACCCCCAATGATACGATACCAGGGTAGTGTGACGTAGGTTAAGTGGACGTTTAGCGTGAGGGGCCTTGCGCTGGCCACCTGACTTCTCTTGAATCGCTTCAACGCCGTGGATGTCCGCCGTATCCATCGATTCCTCCAACCTTCTGTGATGCCTTGCTCATCTGATCACATCGACATAAAAGCGATGCCAAGATCAGAAGTGGCAAATGGGAGATTTTAAAGGTCAACTTAAACTCTTTTATAGCAGATAATCTGGCCAGGGTGAGTCCCTTCCAGAAGGATCGAGTCACATGCGACTCAAATGAGCTGTGACTCATACAGTTGTTACCCAACTCACATTTTATCTAAGTTGCGAGTGACTTCAAAACTGTTTCATGGCATGTGAAATCTTGAAAGGATCCACGCAATCAATTTTTCCTTGAAGCACCTTTTATAAAAATCTTCATACTCTTGTTAAAATGCACAAAAACTGTTTGACATCCTTTAGGAGTTCAAAAGTGCTTTGGAAAAGGACTTCTTTGAAACATTTCCACGCCTAGCCAGACGACTGAGAGATGCTGTTGCTGTGATGTCGTAGGAAAAAACGCTTTTGATTTTACAGGCTTTCCTGCTGAAATTGTGAATCCACAATATGCTCAGTGAAAACATTTCTAAAAGGGCCGATCAAGGCTTATCGTGATGAGAAATGAATAACACAAATAAAGAAATTTAGAACAGCAAATATAAAAATTCCAGCAATTTTTGGCTTGCAAATCAAAGCAACACTGCACTTTTCTCCCTTGAATGAATAGCTTTGCTCTGAATATGGAAATAATTTTCAAGAAATGAAAACAAGGTTAGTTGATATACATGTAGGTTGTAGTACCATAAGACATGTATACTGAGTAGACTCTTGAAGCGAGCCGACACTTGCAAACGTACTGGCTACACGTATGTATTGACACCTCTGAAAGTGCCCATAAGCCACCCCACCAACCCCCAGTCGGTGCCCATTAGCCACTCCAACTACACTCTGTCAGTGCCCCTTTGGCACTCCACCTAACCTCTGACATAGTGCCCCTTACGCACTCCACCTAACGTCTGACACACTGCCTCTTAGGCACTCTACCTAACCTCTGACAGTTCCCCTCAAGCATTCCACCTACCCTCTAACAGTGTCTATAAGCCATCCCACCTAACCTCTGACATTGCCCATAAGCCACTCTTTCTACCCTCTAGAAGTACCCCTTAGGCACTCCACCTACCCTCTAACAGGACCCCTAAGGCACTCCACCTACCCTCTAATAGTACCCCTTGGGCACTCCACCTAACCTCCGACAGTGCCCATAAGCCACTCCACCTACCCTCTAACAGCACCCCTTAGGCACTCCACCTAATCTCTGACAGTGCCCATAAGCCACCCCACCAACCCTCTGACAGTGCCCATAAGCTGCTCCACCTACCCCCAACAATGCCCATAAGCCACCCCACCAACCCTCTGACAGTGCCCATAAGCTACTCCACTTACCCTCTGACAGTACCCCTTAGCCACTCCACCTACCCTCAAACAGTACCCCCTAGCCACTCCACCTACCCTCTAACAGTACCCCTTAGGCACTCCACCTACCCTCTGACAGTGCTCGTTCTTCATCCCTCGCCCGTCTCTCTGGGTCCTCCACCTGCCCTAATGTCTCGCTGTCTGAACGAGACTTCTTCAGGTTTGACTTGACGTAATTATTGTTGACTGCATCGGCCTTTGGCTGGTGAGTGATGGGTTTGTTCTAAAAACAAGACAGAAATATGAGTTAACAAAACCGAGCATGGCAATGTGTACAGTGCATATGGATACATGTACAGTACATGTAGGGTGCTGTCGCAGGCTCATGTTACCTGGGCCCAATTCCATGGCGCTGCTCACCATAAGCGGAAAATCGGTGCTTACGGTAGCAGAAACTTCTTTGCTTACGCGATCCTATTTCAGGGCAGACAAAAATTCTTTCTACGTTGAGTGGCAAATATCTGTATTTATCAATGAGCATGCGTGTTTTGCAATTGTCTGCTGAAAAGAAACCTGCTTGCCATCTGCTGCGTGGAGTAACGGAGGCTGAAAATGTAAAACTGAAGAACAAAGAAGGGCTTGGACGTTGCTCGCTCAATCCCTTACAGTGAGAAGCCACAAACTATTGAGGCCCCTTTAATTTGAACAAAATCAACAAAGAGGGATTATTCTGTGGAGTTTAAAATCTGCATCTCAGTGAAAAAAAAACATGAGGATTTGGCCAGTGGTGGTCTTGTTTCTTGAAAACGGCGGCGACAGATTGCCATTTTGCTCCTTTGTAAGCGTCCAAGTCGGCCCCTCGCCTTGGAAGCATAGAATCAGCGCTTACGGAGCCCATGAAATAGATTCTGAGCTAACAGTGCCTCTTAAGCGCAGAATTGCATAGTAAGCAGGGCCGTGAAGTTGCGAACTGACATGGGTCACTGTAGCAAAGATTACATCACTGCATACAGCATACTGGTAGAGGGCAAGCCAATCAAATGGAATCAAAGCACCATGTGATCACAAGGCCTTCTCAAAATTAGCCTGCATGTCAGTTATCATAATATAAACTAGACAGTGAAGCTCACTTTAACATAAAATTATGATGAATTCTTGATCAACTGCCGCAGTGGTCCCCACCTGTGCTATATGTATGTACGAATGTCACACAGTACACAGTCAGAGAATCTCAAATCCCATGTACATGTACATGTACATGTAGCTTTACAGGATTGTGATGCTGAAGTGACTCATCAAAGGGCTCCATTCTACATGTTCTAGGGCCCAATTCATACAATGAATATGTATTTCTTAAATTTTAGTACTTATCATATTTTAATGCATGAGAGCTGAGGCAATTTCGATTGTATACTTATGTACATGTATATAAATAGCAATAAACCAATAATAATAATGACCATTAGACTGGTCCATTTCCCTGGTAACCTGTGCACAAAATATATTGTGGGTACCAGGAGAAATTTACCAGTAATTGAAGAATAGTCATTAATTTGCCCTACTGAACTTGCACTAAACTGTTGTTTCTTGTTCTTTTCACACTCTAAACCGGACACTTGGGGAGGTGGGCGGGGATACCAGGGGGTGGTTGGGGGAGGGGCTTCACCTCCTCAGTGGGCGACTCCACATTGCTCTCCATGCCAGAGTTCATGTCCTCGCTGCTGCTGTAGTCCACCGAACCGATCCGGTGGTGCCGGCTGACGGCCACCTCGGCGTAGCCTTTGCCCTCCGGCCCTTTCATCCGGATGAACTCCACGCGACCTTTGCCCCGCCCGTAGTAGCCCATGGAAGCGGCCACGCGGGACGTCATGCTGGCCTGTGCCAACAAAACAAGCAGAACAGTGCCAAAGGTAAACTTAAACCCAAACTATTCAACAATGACCTATTAAAAACCAAAGACTGAAGTGCTGAAATAGAAAAACAGCTACAATGTAAGTACAAGGAAAACCCCTTTCACACTGACATGACTGAACAATTCTGAGACGGTAAACTACAACGGACATACGCATCCATGTAGTACCGGGACGTACATGTATACTTGACCATTATAGACTACATGGGAGCTTGGATGTTTTACCCAAGATGTGGAAAATCTTTATTTCTTTAATGCATGTGATTTGTTTTTGGTTTAATTTTACATGTAGATCATTCAACTCAAATGTAATCAAATTACACAGGAACATGCACCAAGGTAATGCAATTGCCTAAAATACACACAAAAATGAATTTGTGTAAAAACTGCACAAATTTCAAATACCTGTAAATGTATCCATCCAAAGTACACCGCAAGGATGTGTAGAATGTTTAATCTTAACACACAAAATAATGTCACACTTTTTTTTTCTGGAAATTGTTTAAAGATACTGTTTGGAAATTCAAGTGCCATGGCAGAGAAACTTAGTCCACTGCCTTCTTTGTACTGTTTCCAGTTTGACAAGCAATGGCATGTTACATGTACATGTAAAGTATTGTGTGCAAATTATCCACAAATAGAGGGCATTCACACTCAAAATTTCGGTCCCCAATACAAGCCAGTACACATTATGCTCAACCTCCCCAGGGTATCTTGAGGAAACCTTAATCAGCCCCCCCCCCCGCAAGCTGCTGTCTGTACTAATTGGTTCATAAATGCATAGCACTGTGTGCGTATAGAGGGTTTGAATGGCTGCCATCTTACAGGCCAGTGGAACAAAAGAACTGCCCTACAAGATGGCTACCACGCAAAGCCTCTATTGTGCATACATACAGGTACAAAAGTACTTCCAAACATTGTTACACACTAGCACGGTACATGTATGTACATGTTTGACATAAATGTGTATAGTGGCATATGTAAGACTACACAAACGCATGTTTGGCATTTCAAATCCTAAGTATCTATTCATGCCTGCAGACCTTTGCCACTCACCCTAGCATCGTAGACTCGTCTTAGCGACTCGTACCTCACCGAACCCAGGAAGATAACGCTACGGTACTGACCCTCCTTCTCAGCTGCGACAACCTCCACACAAATGAGTTTCCCCTCGTCGACCGTGACATCCCCAAACACCTAAGAGTCATCAGTGAAATGTTCTAAAGTTTTAATCTTTGTACGATTATTTCCTGGAAAAATAAAAATCATGATAATAAACAATAACGACAGTCCGAATTGCCCTAGGACAATACCAAATTACAAAATGCATTTTGGAAATATAATTAACTACATGGATTCTGGTGTTTGAAATATCTGGACTTTGAAGTTTAGACAAACTTTTTCCTCAAAGCCCTGCTATAAAATTAGACAACAGCACTTCTTTTAGTAGCCTTCATCATCAGCACTTTACATAAGCACAGAAGTGGGACACACAGGTCATTATCGGGAAACTCTTTGCCCCCATTTTAAGCTGAATCGTGTTCTCTAACATATGTGGTGTCCCCTAGCAGAGGAGTACCGGGTAGTGCCCCTGGTGCCCTTACAATGTTTTCCACTGCCTTTTTTTGTGTGTGTGGCAAAGGTCAAACACTTGGGGCACAATGTTTGGCCAGGACTTCAACGCTCTCACTCTGACATGGGACTCAACAATCCAGAAAGAATGAAGTCCATGTAATGGTGCATTTCTGGCTGAATCGCAAGTATACATATTATGTTGCTTAAAATACATGTATTAGCCATGTGGATAAAATTAAAAACTACACAACTTTTTTTGGGGGGGGGGGAGATTAATGCAAAGGACAGACGTTACATGTACATGTATGTTGTGGATTCAACAAAAACAAACTCTGTCGCCGTGCAGTTCATTTTAATACCAGTAACTTCTTCAATGTGGTCTGCTTTGGGTGTTTCCCATTAAATCTCTTTAAGAAAACCCCAAAAACCTGCAGACTCAATGTAAACATTTTCTGCACATAGCACGTCCCGCTACTGGGTAACAACAAAGAAATCGGCATGTGTTTAAGGCAATTAAAGTGACCCACCCCTGATAACAACAGACAACAAAAATCAAGGGGAACTTTCATCATTTTTTTTTAACCAGATGTCTGTACAACATGTACAACAAGTGTTATGCATACATGTAGTTGGCACAAAATGAGTGACAGGCGCTATTCCACTTCATTACATGTACATGTATACTGTAACATACAAAATAAAAAATGTGAAAAATTTGTTTTCAACCCCAACAGAACCATTTTTAACCCCAACTCCCCGAGTGATTTTACTATGGGGACCTTCCTCATTCTTGCAAAATCGTAAAGTGCGCACATAAACAGTCGGTCTCTGCTTATTTGTGGTAGTACGGGTCATTCCATGAGGTTGGGGCACAACTTGTGACACTGTTCTTGTTACATGGGCAACTTTTATCACCTGTCATGACCTGTAGAGTCGGTCATTTACTCTGTGGAAATAACACACCCCTCTGTGTTCAGCCTTGCAAGATGTGTAACAATGTCAATGTGGAATCCACCTGCAGGGAAATAGCTGTTCTTTTTTACGGAACCCATGTACACTGTACTGATGTCACAGTTGACACCGTCACAAGTTCATGGACTGACCCGTATGCCTAATCCCACATACAATGTACACTGTAAAACACAGTGCAAAGCTCATCTTAACAGATTCCAATAAGCCTTTTGCGAGTAAAATTTCAATACTAAATTCTGGTACACTGAGTTCTTTAAACTCAGGTGAACAAAACAATTTGAATTCTCCATACTAAAACCACTGTTGCTATACCTCGTGATTCGGGGCAAACTTTTGCTTAGTTACATAAGAGACGCCTTGCAACAATACAATGTTCTCAATGGATAAGAAGGGCACAAAGGAACCAGTCCATTCCAGAGATACCGGTAAGTATGATTTGAAGCTTTGCATGGCGGATGAAACATGAGAAATGGGTCTGCGGGTACACCATGGAATCAATCTCTTTTGGACGAGGGTGTGGTTCTTGAAAGAACCGGTGAGTATAAACTCGACGTTTCGGCCAGTGCCGTACTTATTTCGCATGCTTATTGCTAACATGGATGTGTGTGTGTTTTAATGATTACAAGCCATCTGTTTGTCCAAACAGTGATTCCCAATAGGCAAATGTATTCCTTATCTGACGTGCATATTTTATTTAACACTCCCCACAAACAAGGCAGCTCAGTCTGTCACAACACAGTGCATGATGAGCCTTAATCGCAAATGTACCGTACAATATGAAGTCAAAATGTTTCTCCCTTGGCTGCTTGTGGCGACAGTGCAGTCCCAGTGAAGAAATCTCTTAGCCAATATTTAATAATCCCGGTAAGCCCTGGTGTACGCACAGTTCACCGGGCGGGGAGTCTGGGCAGATAGAATTTGCCAGCCCTGGGGGACAGATCGATGGATGGGAATTAGTTGTGTGTGATTGAACGGCGGTGTACTGAAGGGGGAAAAATGGTCCATCTCCCAACCCCCCCCCAAAAAAAAAGACAGGTGCGTACCATTAAGGGCTTGGATACTGCTTTCTGTATTACATACTCAATTGTTGGTTAATTTAGGTTTTTATTTGGTTTTCCGGTTGCTTTTAATTTTTATTACATGTACTTTTGTATGTGTTTTATTACACGTAGTTTCCGCAATGCTTCATTCTTAAATTGCATTTTGATCGTTTCAAATGGTGAACAGTGTACCGGTACTCTGCCACTTTGGGATCACCTTTACAGCATTCTGTATTGCATTTTTAAACTATTTTTGAGGATATCCACTCTGAACTGGTTGTTGATGAGAGTGGCCCAACAAATCTGCAAACACTCGAGGGCCTCACATTTCAATCAGAGAAGCATTGCTAGTGTTTGAGGGGGGGGTAGTTTTGGAGTTATATGTATCATTTATTCTGTTCTGTGTTTTTGTTTGTCTTCTGTACATGTATTTTATGTTGTTGTTTTAGTTGATTTTCATTTTGTTATTATTTTTTTCTAATCTTTTTGTATTAACGGGCATAAAATACATTTTAAAAAATACATGTAACAATGGCCTGGGTGTATGCACTTACATGTTTATGTACACGTATATCAATCCTGATTATTTCCTTACAAAAAAGTCCTGGCTGATTACGTACATATACAGTACCTGGGCCAGTCTGTAGATTTGGGGTCCAAAAGTGTGACATTTTTGTGTCCCTGTTACCCCTGACTCATGTCATTGTGGCATTTCTCGCTGAAATTGATTTCAAACTCTTTCTATTTGACAGGTATGGTGATTTGCTTGAAATCATCACTTGTGGAAATTAGAGAATTGTTCTGAACTAACAAAATCATATGTGAGATGTATCATATGTTGGTGACCATGCAAATGTTTGATGTTTTACGTGTCCCCAGCCTCCTTATTAAAATGTCTTGGAATATCCTTGTATTTTAGGGCTGGGTCAATTCGAATAATTCACTATTTGAATATTCAACCTTCAATTTGACAAATCCAAATATTTGGTCGCACCGACCGGCAGATTGTTGATGAACAAACCGTATACAAAATCAGTTGCAATAGCACACACAATTGTACATTATGATCACTATAATACACGTGGCTTCTCACATCTGAGAGTATCTCCAACCACGATTTAGCAAGATTTGATTCTTTGAATCTGCTTGTTACAAGCCTCCATAGTGCAACTTTTCTCATTTAAATCAAAGGAAAATTTTCCCTTCCTTTTCATGAAATTTGTATTCGAATATTCATATCCGAAAAACAATATTCACATATTCAACAATCGATCGAATATTCGGTTATTCGGCATAGCCCTATTGCATTTTCCATTTTGTTGAAAATCCCCAGAGGGGTGACGTGACCACCAGTGCCCCACATGTGCCATGCATGCATTAAGAAGCTGGCAAGGAAGGCGAATGGGGGCTTGTGCATAAAGTGCTCCATCTCCATGGTCCTGCAGTCTGACTCCCAGCCAGGATCATGCGAGTTGAGTAGTTCATTACATGTACATGTACACTGTAGTTCTCTACTGTGCCACCTGGCATTTTTGTCCTGGTTCCGACTAGTGTTCCTCTAGCTTCCCTGGTCAAATACAGTCGGCCACAGGTAAGAAGAGCACTGTTGATGCAGCGTCACGTTTATAACAAGGACAACTTTAAGTCCCAAGTCTTTGTCTTTCTTTATTTTCCCATTATTTACTGATAATACAAGGTATCTATTAAAACCCTGGTGTCAATGGAACGGTGATGAAGTCTCCACATATCACCAAATATGGTCATAACTTTTTTACCAATGGGCCAATTTGGCAAAGATTTTTTGTGTAATCCTCACCCCAGGCATACACCACAAGCCTGTACACTCCCATTGGCCAGACCCTAAACACTGCAGAGTAAGGAGTCTTAAAAAGATCAGTCACCCAAGGAGCCCATATATGACCCTGCAAAGACCTGGCAGACATCCACCTTGATGCTCGGAGTTATTTTGGGGGCGTGGCTACAAATGTACATGTACTTCCACAGCAGCATAATGAAATGTAGGGACCTGAGGGATGTATTGGCTACCATAAAACTGTCTTACAGGTTCAGGTATGTTTATTAGATATGGGTTGTCTGCCAACTGCCTGAAACACCTTTACCTGCCCTCGGCTTGACCACGCTGTCGCTGCGTCCACCATGATTTCAGCTTTGCAGCTGCAAGTAACGGTGATTAGGCCCCCCTCCCAAAAACAAATAAAACCAAAAGATTCTTAAAAATGTAGAAATGGGCCCCGGGGAAGGCAGCCTTACCTCGTCAAAGTTGTCAATCATGAAGAAGATGTTGGGATAGGAGACGGCACTCTCCTCTCCTTTGGAGTCCATCCGTCGCTTGGAGGGTGAGGCGAAGACCTGCTGGGAATGCTTCTTGAGGACAGTCAGGCTGTCGTCCGTCTTGGTGCAGACGGCGCATGTCAAGATGTAGTCGTACTGCACGCGCAGGAAAATAAACAATGGTGAAAAATATCTAGGGTCGTTTTCCAATACTCAACTTCGTCTCCGTCGCAGGCTTCGTCCCCAAAACCAATCCCCGATTGTGGGCCTCAAGCGTTTACATTGAGTTGGATTACTGTAATTTTTGGTTCTCTTGCATCTTATTTGATGTATTTGACATTTCAATGTCTCCCTAATGTCCCAACTACCAGCAGGAGGCTGAATTTTACCGTCCAAATTTTGAGAGATGATAGATTAGGGTCTAAAATGAAAACATACAAAGTCTGGTTAAGATCGGATTAGGGAATATTTATTAAATTATGGGACAGTACAGTTGGAAAAAATTTGTGCCCATTCTTATGGGAATGTCTCCCTAATGACCCATACTCTAATTTTTGTAATAATGTTTGTCAAAAGTTTGCATATTTGTTACTGTAATGAGTGTAGACTAGGACTCAACAAGCTGAACCTCTTGGGGTCTCTGTCCATCTATGTAACGTGTCTTACCTCGTGGGCCTATCTCTTCATGTCACATGGAATATAAAGTGAACTTATGTCCAGTAAACAGTGCCCTAGTGAAGTACATGTAGCAACGTCAATCACAGACTTGCAGGATGAATTTTAAAGGTCATACAATCACACATCACACATACATACATGTACATGCATACAGTCTCAAGTCAAGACGGTCAAGTCCCAGACTGTTCAACTCAATAGCTAGACAAAGCGTCCCTTTGTCATAGTTCACCCCGTAACACATAAATGAAAGTACAACCCGTTTGATAAACTGATATCAAAACTTGTGCACAGTTTTGCAGAAAATTCTTGTCTTTCATTTCAGTACGTTTCTCTTTGTGCTACAGAAAACTCTCGATAACTCATCCTCAGGGGAATGGATAAAAAATGCGAGTTATCCAGATTTCGAGCTAATGAAAGTTACTGAGTCTTGCCCCCACATACATTGTACACGCACAGTGCACAAGTAACCCTACTTAGCCCCTCCTGCCCCTGGCTCTTGGAGACATTATAAACGTAAGTGGTAATTTCATTCTATCCATGAATAAATTTCTCCTAAAAATCATTAGTTTGCTGAAATTTCATGTTTTTCTAACGTAAAACTTTCTGTTCTACTGAGAAATGAAACAAAAATCACCCAAACTGTGTACTTTTTTTGTGATGATTATTCCGTTGAGTGCATGCCTGTGCTTGCTCGCTTGGCTGGGGCCAGCCTGGCTGCGCCCAGGGTTTTCCTGTTTGGCCACATGATCATTCATTTTGAATCACTCGAGGGCGTACCATTTTGAATTTCAAAATGTTTGAGTGTAGAAGACAAAACTCAAAAAATATTTGTGCGTTTCTGTTTGTTGTTTTATTCCCTTACCTTTCCTTCTTAAAAGATTTCAGTGAAAATTGGCAAGGCAAAGGCAGTATTTCAAGCACTGCACCGGGAACGCATAAGTGCTGCAATTGGGCAGGTGGCAGCCAGGCTTTAGTTGCGACATGCACAAAGTTTCTTTTAGTGCCGTCACATGGCCACCGTAAAGAATCAACAATAAAACTACATGGTACACTTGGGCCGCGATGACAATCGGTTCTGCTTGAAAGCCGGGACATATTGAGGTTGTCATGGTTGTGGTTGCGACAAGTCAATTACAATGGCACTGGTAGCAAGCATGCTCGTGTCCTCACGCAAAAAGACAAAGTGTCGTCTGCAAAAATGACTCATAACGGAAGTCTCTGCATTCTTTTGCCACTCATTGTCAGTAATTTGGAGGTGGTCTTTTTGGATTGGCTCTTCAAAAACTCTTGAGTTAAGCGGATGAAGTGGCGTGGGCATTTTGAGTTACGGAGATCTTTTTGGATCGGCTCTTCAAAAACTCTGAGTTAAGCGGATGAAGTGCATGGTGCGGGCATTTTGAGTTACAGAGTTATTTTTGTATATAAAAGCCTATTCTTTTGGCGGGAATGAAGAATTATCTTTGAGATAAGTAGAGTTTCAAGTTAACCGAGTGCGTAAATCACGAGTTCACTGCATTTGCAGTAAGCTGGAGATTTATAATTGAGCCCAATAAACAGAAATTTCCTTCTCTATGGACACACAGCCGACTAACCTGTTGTAAGATAAGATTCAGATAGACTGACTCCTCCCAGTCTATGTTTGGATCTCCAAGACTCGGCAAGTTCTTAGAATCTTTACGGAAGACTTCCATTCTCGTCTGAAACAAAAAGAGGACAGGACATGCGTAAAGGAAACAAACTTACAGACGTACATTGTACATGTACATGATCATGGTATCGGTCAATGGGCCAGTTTCACATTTCAACTGCACAGGAAAACGTCATGATTTGACTGTCTCATGGGGAAATTCACCATTGGTAGCAGTATTTATAAAATCATATCTTGTCTAAATGACACACCGAGGAGGAAGTTTTGTTCTTTGACTGAAAAACATTGAGAAGTAATTGTATCACGCTATGTTCATTCTGCATACTTCAACTTTTAGGAAATTTCCAATTACTATTCTTCACAGGATGAGAAGTTCCATGCGCAAGTGGACAGCGTCCAATCTGAAGGCATTTGAGTGTACCGGTACATTGCAACTGAAAGTTGACCTGTGAATGGGAAAATCTTTTCACACTTATTTTTGTCCCAGGGAATTCGCTTTCATTTCATAAACGTGAAAAACGTTTCCCAGAGTGGGCATGGTAGGAAAAGAGTTTCCACAAGATTTTCTCGCCAGTATGACACACTGCAAAAAAAGTGGGAAAACATGGATACCGGTATGGTCACAGGTTTTCCCACAAATGGGGAAATAACTTTCACGCCTTGTGTCATGTGACTCTAAATGAGAAAGTGGATCTTTTCACACGATTTCCCTTCCCGATACAATGTAATTCACTCTGTTAACTTTCCTAATTTTGCAATGTACACTGTACATGTACTGTACATGTACCAGCTGGTGACACCGCGTTTCCCCGAGATTGGCAAATATTACCCTAGACCTGTTAGCACTTCCACATCAATACCGACCATACATGTACACTGTGTGTCAAATATCCCAGCAGTCACCACTTGTGCCATATGCTGTCCTTATTTTGATCCAGTAAAGGCTTCTGCTTGTGTTTTCTGCATACATGTACATCTACTTGCGCTCAGAAGGCTTGCCTACAGTGTCCATACAGTACTACCGGTAAGTGTGGTGCCACGGTCGTTGCTATACGTACATGTACCAGTCATCCATGTATGATGGGCGCCAGGTCACATCCAGTGAGTACACCTTACAGATTCCCAAAAGAGACTTGTGTACGTACCGTACAATGTACGTGCACTGGTAAATCCACTGGGTTTGTCCCAAACATGCTCAAGTAGAAACCTTCCAATCATTTTAGGCACATTAACATGTATATTTTTGCAGCTGAAAAGCAACTGGCTGACACAACTGTACATGTACATGTACACTGTATGAACTGGTGCGTGTAGAGACCTACGGTGAAGCAAGGTACCGTACCCACGGACGTGTATAAAAAACCTGGACTTGCAACGCCTTTGTATGAAAAAGAAGCCAACCAGCGGCCATTTTATCGAGCCGAATACAAATGCATGGGTTGGCTCCCTTCTATGATCGACGTCAGGAAGAACAAAGACGGGCATTGCAAGGAAAGCTTTGCATTCGGCTCGGTAAAATGGCCGCGAGTGGATTCAATGACTCTGTGAGCTGATTAAGGGCATTGCGAGTCCAGATTTTATTATACACGTCCGTGATAATACCCTCCACCACTTAAGCACCTAGGCTTTCCTTTTTTGTTATTCTTAAACTGACTACAGCCCTCACATGTCAGACCATTCGCAGCCTACTTGTACCGAGATTTGACAATAGAGAGGCTAGAGTCCAGACAAGATAACAGAACGCACATGTACATGTATGTACCAGTGATTATTTGGAGGAAAATTTAGCAATGAGATCTTTGCAAAGTCAGTGGGATTTGTCCCCTAGAAAGCTATAATATCGTACACGTATTTGATAAGCAGCATTAATACGGGTGATTCACAATGGTGCGCCTCCAAGAGTTTGCAAAGCGTCGGCCAATCACGGCGTGTGAAATCTGTCGACCCAATGCGCACATTTGGAGAAGGTCGACAGATTTCACGCGTCGTGATTGGCCAACGTGTTGCCAACTCATGGAGGCGCATTAATGTGAATTGCCCGTATTGTCATCAGTGGCAACTGTGCAGACATTCAGCTAACTGCTTGAAGGATTGCGCCACCATGCCATCATCGGAATGATTCAGAGTCATGATTCCTGTACACATGTACCGGTAGGTTGAACAAAACAGTGTAGCATGAAAGTTGTTATTCCTTCCGGCAAAAGTGTAAAAACGTGGCCCTCTCTACTGTATGGTTGTTAGTTAAACTGGCAAGCCTTTAAGACGCAGGCAATTAGACAAACAGCTCAAAAAAACCCTTTACTGTGTGCAGCTCTTCCACAAAGCCAAGGGTACATCCACGTGTACAAACACTGTGCAGGGCTTTTCACAGATGCTGCTTCGAGAACACCCCACCACACAGAAAAGAGTCTCAACCATTCGTGATTTCCCAAGTCACTTTCCGGAGCTCAATTTTCACCAAACTCTGAAAGGTGACACTCTTTTCTTTTCATGAAAGAAAGTAAAATGAAGAAAAGCAGATTAAAAGTGTACCGTTTGTACATGTAATTCAAGACGGAAGAAAAAACCCATTACCGTGATTTAGTTAGCTCTTTATGACTCCCAGACAAAGAAGAGATTAATAATGAAAACTTCATTTGCAATAAGAGATTGGATGTTGTTTACTAAACATGTAATTACCTTCTCCTTCTGTGGTAATGATAAGCCCATAAAAGAAAGAGAACGTGACAAACGAGAAAACATTTTAAATACAGGACCTAAACGACGCGTACTGTACATGTAAGTAATGTGATTTCAACATGGTAATGGTCATGAAGGAATTAAACATTTATAAACCTACCGTAGTTCACGCAAGTGCATCCTTTAAAAATTCCATGTGTTTTTTTGGCTGGATTATAGAGGGTTTCGTATGGCTGCCCTCTTGCAGGACAGTGCTCGTTTCACAGGGTATCCACGAAGGAGGTTTCCCTTTTGAATAAAGGACCTGCATGCCCTGTAAGATGGCTACCACGCAAAGCCTCTAAGCAACACTCAGGCACCGGTGCTTGCACTGGTCCAATTTTACATGTATGGTGCTGGTTAGCACACTATTTTACGCTAACAGAGAATCCTGTACATTATGTGGAGACAGTAAGCACAGCGAAATACGCTTACCTAATTTGGTTAATATACTTGTGCATGTACATACTCTACAGTAGTGACAAAACAATCGAAATCCCTATGCGGATGCAACTTACCGGTATCCCGACCAGGCCAAGCACATGAAACACAGCTTCAGGTCAGTAAATCTTTCTACCGGAACTAACAGTAAGCACAACATTCCGGCTCCCTGAAATTGGGCCCTTGTCTGTAAACTTACTGGATAGCACATTCTCATATCGCCGTGCACAAACAAATGTCGCCTACATGTATGTACATGTACATACACATATGTAGCTCAATGCCTTGGGTCTCCTTGCAATGTACGTATAGAACAATTGTACGGGTGATTTAACGAAGTTTCAAGGAGTACCGGTTGGGAAAAAAATCACTTAAATGTATATTGTACCTTTAGAGTAAATAGCAAAATAGCGTTAACACGAAACTGCCTGTAAGACACAACAGCCCACTTGGACCACGGTACATGTAGGTCTCCCAGCTTGGAGACTGTATGTGGTCTCCTACATGTAGTTTGGGTTTTGTAAGGTCGGGGGTTCGAATTTCCCTGCTGGTTACATGTTGGGACCTTGGCCTCTCAAGACCCAAGATCGGAAATGGGTACCTGTGAGGAGAGAGATTTTGCCGAGTTTGATTAGCCGCTTGCACCAGAAAATGGCAACATCGAGTCTACTCCCCAGAGAGCTCAGATGGTTTCAGAAATGCCTATAACGAAGTGATTATGTCATGTGCAAAATTGTGCATGTAAAAGGTAATGGCACCAGAACCAGCGCGTGAGCCAACATGCATGCGTGCATACTCCATTCGTTTGCACTACGCTTCCTGGTTCAAAATGACGTCACACTCCGGTTCTCTATGAGGCTCAGTGAGCTGGGCTGATGATGTTTGGTGCCTTGATCAGGTTCCGCAGTAAGTGCAAGCATACATGGAAATACATGTAAGTCTCTATTGTTATTCTTAAGGCTGGTGAGGGAACCACTGGGCCTTTAGGCCTCCAGCTAGCGATGGCGATGAGTGACTTCAAATCCTTGGTGTTGATGCTCTAGCAATCAAGTCAGTATGGGCACTTTCAATCATTTCCCTTGGTCAAAGGTTTAGATGGGCATCATGTGCACCGTGTGGTTATTATTGACCAAATGTCTCAAGGTCATTACACATTTCTTGCCTTTCTTTCACAGCTAACTTCGTTGATTCAAGCCAATGTGCCGTTCAATCCAGCTCTAGTGCATGTATCGGCCTTTTTCCGTAAAATGTGTCAAATTTTGGCATTTTTGGTGTTCACCTTTCCTTGGCAACACTTGACTCAGCCGGCATGTTTTTGCTCTGTAGGGTGAAATACCACATGTACATGTACACGTGCTTTCCTGAAGTAACCAGCTTGCTGGGTCGGTTTCTAGGGCCAGACGATAGCTGAGCACAAAAGAGTTCCGCGAGTATTAGATGGAACTCAGCTGTGCATAAAAACCAGTAAGTGCTAGGGAAATAAACGAGCGTATTGCTCAAGGAGGTCAGTCGGTATGGCACTGTACATGTTACACGTACATTGTATGTGCACGCCGAGACAGAGAAAAGCCACCGGGCATTACACATCATCAGTTTTCATACCAGCAGGGCCTTGGCTGTACGTCGCGTTACTGTAGTGCAAACCTTAGTGTGGCGTTGACAGAGCAATAGCACAGCCGTTGTGCTAAATACCGTCCTACCACTGCCATTTGGAACAATGTTAGCGCGACATTCCCTGTCGACCTGAAGGGCTTGCCATGCCAAATGCAATTTACCGAGCTGATTTGATGCTCAACACCATGCTACAGCTGTACCAAACTTTAAAAAAAATGAACCATTTAAGTTTGGCGTAGCAGTAGCACGGCACATACATGTAGCCTAGGCCTAAATGAACATTTACAATGACACCCCCCAAAAAGGAGGAAGCAAATTATCATAAAGCACTAGTAAACTTGACAGTGTCGGTCATTCAAGCCCTACCTGCTTTTCAGCTCTGCTTGATGAGCTTTGGCGGTACACAAAGAACAGCATATCATCCCTGTGCTCGTCTGACGCTGTCAGGAAATGCTGGGCAAAGACTTGAGTCCAGAAACAGTTGACTTCCATCGGAATGTGCACAAAGCCGTCTGCGACAACATAAAGAATTGTTCTGGTTCATTTCAAGCAGTTTTATCCCCCCCCCTCCGCGATGTGCTCGCTTTTCTGTTCACGTATTTTATTCGGTTCTGCTTATCGCTAACAATCCCTAATCGTCAGATTTCAATATGATTTAAATGCACACTACAGGGTTAGGGTTTACCGTTTAAATATTTAAACATGGACGTTTAAACGCCCCACCCTTACCGAGGGTGTCATTGAAAACTTTACAATGTAGATAGTTGACACAAAGTTCCAGTGATGAATTCGTGGTATTCCTTTGATACCAGTATGACCGAGCAGTAATGGGGCGGTTCCGTTCAACGTTTAGGAAAATCTGTAAGCAGATTTGGACCTTTTTTTGTTGAAACAGTTAAATGTGTAAACATCTCACCCTTAGTTCTGTTTTGTTGTTCTTGATTTTTGTTTCTTTAAAGGCACCAGGATGTGAATTTCACGTGTGCAACGTTCGACGTCTTGGGAACTCTTACATGTACGTGCCGTTCATGTATTGTATGTACTTCTACCAGGGTGTTGCAAAAAAGAAAAATGCCCTCCCAACAATCAACTTTAAATGACTAAACCCCCCTCCTAAAAAATCTTGCATTCATTTCAAGCTGTAAATAAGAGCAACTTTGATTCCAAAGAGTCGGAGTAAAGTGGCCAGGAAATGCCTCAGATTGCACCACAGAGCATCTAGAATCTAACAGTTCCTGCGGCCTTTGAGCGGGCCCTAGATCCTAAGCCATCAGGGCTTCGAGCTCCACACATTGCGGAGCATATTCCTCCAGTTGTGATTAGGGAAGTACATGGTGTATACATACATGTACATGTACATGTAGGTTGCTGTCTGTGAATCTGTGTACCAATCTACACCACTAGAAATATACATGTATGTAATTCAAATTTGGGGACCCTGCTCCTACATGAGAGAGCTACATGTATATGTACATACACAGTACATGTACATACATTTTAACTTTTGAATTCACCTTGGTACAGTAGATGACTGTGACATCATGCTCAATCACTGTAGGGTTGATGTTGTCAAAAAAGGGCAGGGTGTTGATTTGAGGGAAATTATGAGGGGAAACTGTGAGTGTTTTAACGCATGACCCACGGTGGATTCAACTTTGCACTGCTACTGTGGGTTATAAATCTGTAAGAAAGTCACATTTTCTCACAAATTACAATTTGAAATTTCCAAAAAATAGGGTCAGCGCAATAAAGAGACGGTTGCCGTTGTTTTGGGGGGGACTTACCAATTTTGCAAGATTAAAATGACCCAAAAAAAACTGGGGGGGTTCCCCCTAAGAATATGCCTTCCTCTCCAAGAATTAGATCACTTCAAAAACAAAACAGCTGCCCAGGGGGAAAATATGAGACTCATGGGCCTAGCAAAAGCATACAACTACATGTAGACTATCTCAACATTAAAAACATGTATGTCCAGAGCCAAAACATGTCAGGACTGTCAAAACATTTGAATAGGGGTCTACACACTTGGCATGCTAGGGCCTACATGTACATGACGAAGGCCCCTAAGTTGGGAAACACATGCAAACATAGCAAACAAGCATATTACAATACACTTCCAGAACTGTAAGGTTTATGCAAGGTACGCATACATGTACATGTACACTGTAAATAGTCATATCCAATATCAGCATTTTAGCTGAGATTTTAAAAGTGGGAGTGCAATCTTGTTAGAGTCAAAAATTTGTGTGCCAAGCACGCAACACAAGCGCGCAGCGCAAAGTCCCTCATGGCCGGGATCCAGGGCCTGTGTAGGGGCCCCAGAAGCTCTGCCTATTTTAGATGCTCTCTGGTGGTCTCTGGTGAATTTCTGACATTTTTGTCATGAGATTTTTACCTTTCAAACAAAAAATAACAGCTATTAGAAGAAAATTTAATTGTAAAACTGTCTTCAATTGTTGTTTTATAAAGTGTGATTAATCAGTCCTACAACAAAGTAGCAAATAATGAAAAACATCTTTGAATAGATTTCTCATAACCACTTAAATATTTTGTTTTCAAAAAAATGGTACGCAGGTAATGTACATGTAAGTCAAAACTTGACACACGCTTTTGTGCCTTTTTTGCAATGCACGTACATTGCATTCAGATTATAATGTGATTTAATAGCAAACAAAAATAAATAATGATATAAAATGAATCCCAGTATTTCCACATGTACATATGCACGTTTCCTTCGGCAATTTGGCTAGGAACAACCAAATTGAGTACAATACATGTACTTGTCGTACATACAGTACACAGCACATGTACACACATGTACATGCACACTATCATGACTGTACACGTACGCACGTACATGTACACCACAGGCAGGCCACGCGCTTGTGCTTGTGCACAAGTCTGAACACGGCATCGGAAGAGATCGACTTTTTTTTCCATCGTTAAGGGAGAAAAAAACGAGCTTTATGCTGATTATTGACAATAACAACGATTATGTGTACATGTACTGGTAGGTCAACCCTTAGCTTCAAGAAGAAATTTGTTATTTTTCTCGTTTCATTCTGGATGATACTGAGCAAGCCACACAAGCCACGAAATGATAATATGTCAACCTCGTCCCCGCGCACTACATCGTGTGAGAGTGGGCACAATATGGCGGCTAACGATCGCTATGGAACGAGGTTTATTACATTCACATGTATGATCGATCGCTGGCTCCAAGTACGGCTCCCTGTGTTCATTTTGTTACAAATTGATAAATCGGTCATATAGCTCATTATTCATAAGTTAGGGAGCCTGGCTGCTGGCGTCGATACGAGAAAACGTCCAAACCGTAGTCCCAGAGTACATGTACGTACATGTACACTGTACTTTACTGCAGCGTATTTTCGATTTTGGAAAATTTGGAAAGATTTTGGGTTGATGGGGGAAAAGCATGGAGAAAAGACTGAATTTTAGCTTCAGATTTTATTTTCACATTTTTCGGGATCAAGACTACTCAAGCATGTCAAGCGTCAAATAAAGTAGCGCACGGCTTGCTTTGCACCCCGAACTGCAGTGCCTGGCTGTGTTTGAAAAAATGGGCCCTGATTTCACAAAACTGGCCGTGCAAAACACAGCTACATGGCTCGCTGGCTAAAACGCTGTCCAACGCGGCGCTACATGTACTGTACATGTACTTTGGTTTGCATGAAATTTCTATGCCATTAAATCGACTTTTCCGCTATAATTTCATGAGGTCTTGCGGGATACAATTTTGTATGGAATGAAGGGAGGGGGGTCATTTACACTGTACCATTTAAAATGGTAAAATTTATGAGAATTTTCCTTACCCACTTTCACTAGGAAAGGGTGTGCGATGGCCTCAACATGACCAAAATATGTTTGTTGGAAAAAAATCATTTTACTGAGGGTAAAGATGGGACTTTGATCAGCAGAAATTATGAATTTGTCCTGGCAAACGCATTTCCACTACTCCGACGACTGTTTCCAGTACATGTAATGTGTTGTCCAATGAAACGTCCTGTCCACACGACGTATGAAATAAGAGACGAGCTGTAGTTGGTGAACGTCACCAGCACACCATTCAACCAATAGAAATTTTTCTCTCATTCGAGAGCGAATGGAAACTGAATAGAAAGAGATGGGAGCCATGTTGTAATTAGTGAAGCTGCCACACTACTGACAACGATGACCTTTAAAATGACGTGACCTGGTGACTTGGGTGAACTGAGCAGGCAGTCATGGACACGGGTATGGGTAAGGAAAATTCTCATAAATTTCACCATTTAAATGGTATAATGTATATGAACCTCCCCCCATCCCATATAAAAATGCATCTTGGGAGATCTCGTGAAATTACAGGGGAAAAATCGGTGTATCGGCATAAAAATTTCGTACAAACCGAAGCAGCACCATACCAGATATGACTATTTACGTTGCTGTCTGTATTACTAGGTTTGTATAAAACTTGTAGTTCTGGAAGTAGGCTTAATTACAATACATGTAAAAAAATCAAGACATCCAAACAAAATAAAGGCTTCATGCAATGTCAACTTCATTCTGCACATGGTGAAGCAAGCAGGCATAGTACATACAGGCACATCAATACCGTTGCAACACCGCAACCAAACTCAGAACTGAGTCATGTCAATCAACTGCATGCATCGGTACAGCAATGACTAAGTCAAGACATCATGTGACAGTTACTGTCATTGTCATTAGCGTCAACCTCACTAAGCCTGGTACAATATATACGTGACGCGTCGACGGTGTACGAGTTAGACTGACAAATATCACGATCATGCAAGAACCACCACCGAAACACCGACATATTGGTGATGTTCCCACCTCGCGTGCCCGTTTGTGAGTCTGCTACGGTACCTTCGACAATATCTGGACAGTTGGCCTTCCCCCGCTCCATGATAATGTCGGAAATCATCCGCCGAAAAGTACTTTCCCTCCTGTTTCGGACAAATCCCACACCCCCGTTCGCTGCCATCTTGATGTTTTGATAATTAATAGTCTGATGACACTGGCATGAATATTCATCATTAAGTTATTTTTATCAATAGACGGCGCTATTTCAAAAATAAGCAGCTGGGGAATTTACTTCCACTTGTTCCGAAATGCATTGGGCAAGCTCTTTGCTGCTGCTTAAACTAAGATTTTCGTCATTATGTATCATTCCATAGAATTTGTAATAATTTTGGATTATAAAAGCATGGTTAGGTTAAGTTGTGGATAATCAAAAAAAAAAAAAAAAAAAAAGGGTCAGAAACAGCGCCCTCAATTGGCAAGAAAATTGAACACATGTTTTTCGATGCGCCGACGAGCGCGAGCTGGCACCGTTCGGTGTAATGCACCTTTATCTCAACAGGCATCCGAACAGAGCTGGGTTCTTTCCTTCATAAAAGTTACTCAGCAACGTAGCAGGTAAACAGACATTACTGTGGCCCTATCTGAAGTCTTCTTTTTTGTTTTTGTTAAGAAGAAATGACCACGGATGAAGGCTGGTTCATATACTCGCTGTGCACTTGACGTATTCACTGTGTACGCAGCGCGAAGGTCGAATATTAATTACATCATGATTACATGTATTGTATGTCTCCAGTATGTGAAGGGAAAAGCAGTGCGTAATGAAAAAAAATGCGCGCCCCTGCGCGCAGTTTGTGAAAATAATGGATAGTGCATACGCACCAAATGGATGCGTATTTTGACGAATTAAAATTTGTTAACTTTTGTCAGATACATGTACGCAGCCAAGACTTGAGTTGAGAAAACATAAATAAAGGTAGAATGAACGTCAAATGCGGCATTTACATTACACGCTGCGTGTGTGCGAAGGCAGCGAGTATGAACCAGCCCTAAAACTGACATGACTATCTGTGCACTGTAGCTGTAGCCTGTACTTAGGCCCAGGCCTAACGTTACATGTGATGTATATCGCCCCCCTCCGTTTAAATAGTAAATTAGTTGAACTGACTCAGGCCTACTTTCAGGATTAACCACAGAGAAAATTTATAGGTTCAGAAGTCTGTCACCAAGCACGCCAAGGGGAGGAAAAATGTGGATGGAACTAAGAAAAAGATTTGGGTAGCCTAGTAATTAGAGATTGAGGATACCCAGTCTTCCTCATGTAACACTGGACCGTTGAAATTCCTTTGCATCTTGCAGGAAGCTACACCAGGGTTTAGCTAGCATCAGGCAGCCAAAGGTGTCTCTGGTGATCGATGTCCTCGGATCATGAGTCCTCCGACATTGAGGGCAGTCCTACCCCTCGCACGTCCCCTGCCCAACCTGCCTGGTGGTCGGACTCAGATGGCCGTCGCTCAGCTCGAGATGTGGCAGATGTCGACGAATCGCCTTGGTGGGAATCAGACGGTGAAGTTGAAAAGCAGCAGTACGTTTCTTGTTCTTTTTTTTTGTCTTTGAAAACATTCAAGAAAATTGAGACGTCAGGTAAAAATCTCAACGGAGTGGAGCCAGGATGTGGGGCTGTCTCAGTTGTTTTTTCTTGATGAGTTACTAAAAAGGTCATGAGTTTTCCTGTTTATCATAAAAACCCAAGGTTATGTCCGAAAATCTTTTTACATGTACAGTATGTGCCAGTCTGTAAAAAATTTCCTAAAATGCCTTTGGGCTGCCCATTTTTTGTCCACATATTTACAACTGTGCCAAGTATGCTGTTTTCACTAGATCTTCACGCCATCTACTGTAGCCCAGCCTGGCTAGCTCATACAAACCGAACATTCGTCAGAAGAAAACAAAAATTTCTGTGGCGGGTATTGCCATTTTTAACATGTTATTATTTTTTTTCAACGAAAACAACAGTTCAGCGGAATAAACTGAATTTATAACAGCAAAATATCTAAGTTCCTTGCAAATTTTGATGTAGAAATACTGTAGATGGTTTTGTCATGGATGACAGTTTGGGTCCCCCATGTACCAGCTTGTAAATATGCGTGTAACTTGTTTGATCCCAGCATTCGAGCGGCCAACATACGAACAACAAATCGAGCTGTTCGTGAACATACGGGAACAAGCCGCCCAAACTCGGCCTTTATGTATGATTTCATTCTGCAATACTTGCAGGTTGTGCAGTGACAGTCCCAACATTTTGCCGAGTCCCTGTCGCAGAGCCTCTAGTGAGTCATCAGTTACTCCTACTTGGTGGGTGGAACCCTCGTCCAGAGAGCTCAGCACATCCGGTGCAGAGGTGGACGGTGGCCGAGAACACTGCTTTCTCGGTCCCAGCACTGAAGCAGGCAGCGAGCGGGAAAGAGGTGGTGATAAAGACGGGAGTCTGTCCGAGTCTTGGAAGAGCCGAAAGAGATCAAGGTCCGTCTGATCAAGAAAATTAAGAGCCAAAATAATTTGGTAACGTCTCAAATTTAGGGATTGTGAATACATTTTAGTGGCAATATCACATTCTCAAATTGGGACAGTATTCCTACTTGGGTTGGATTTGTTCCTCCTTACTATTTTGGTATTTCTTTTTGGAATGTAAACTGGTTCCCTTCTGTGTCAATAATGTTGACGTTTGGTAGCCTTCAACTGTAAAAATAGAGTACATGAAAGACAGAATGCTTTCAATGCCCCTTTCTGTTTTGAAATACAGCGAGCACACAGCAGTCAAATTAAATCAAAGTTGTGCAGAAGTTGAGTTCAATGGGAAAAAGGGTCATTCTATAAATTTGGGGTCCAATTTTGTTCCCCTCCCTGTTACGTCAGGCAGAAGATTTTCAATGTTTAGAACTCACTGTTTAATTTATCCCAAGACTGAAGAAGTACTGCAAATTATATGTACCTGCCAAACAAATGAAAATAGTTTGAAATCAATTTTGGTGATACGTCCCTTGTCAAACGTGTCCGATGGTATACATGTCAGAGGTCACAGGGACGGAAAAATGTCACACTTTGGACCCCAAATTTATAGAATTACCCATAAAGAAAAATTGAACTTTATTTGAATCACAATGCAGGTTGACGGAAATGCAAAAAACAGCTGTATGTATCCATAGGCCCATAATTTATGATTATTCAGGACGCCACTTAAAAAATCAACAAAATGGGTCTAGAAAGTTTCAATTGTAAGTTTTGGAAACAGAGGTTGAGTCGTGTAATTGTGGTGTCTGCCGGACATAAAGATGTCTCCCAGTTGGGACTGAAGCCCTTCCCACTTGAAATCCATTTCCAACGTAGACCAGGTGCTGTTTTTACGTGGCACTGATGCGGTTTCCAGTTGGAAAACATGCTTTCCCTTTTGAAATGCATGTTGTTCCGACCTGTTGCCCCCACTTGGAACACACGTACACACCATCCGCGCTTTGGAAGCATGCTTGCTCTCTTTGAGCTCAAATTAGCCCAACTTTGTGCACACACTGTAGGTCCTATTCATCAGGGCATATCTGGGCAAGTTTTGACGCAGTTTCACCAGCCCGCAATAGCATCCCACTCAAACAATACAACCTCGTGGAACCAGTTTTTTTAGCAAATCCTGTCGCCACTCACATTGTGCTATGGATTGCCACTCGCCTTGCATTCACAGCCTCTACAATCTTGTCCAACAATATTCAGGTCACTGATTTACTGATGTACATGTATAGCCATCAAACTCTCCAGTGGTTTAACAGCACAAAAAGATGCATGAATGCCCACAGTCACTCTGTTGTACAGTTTTCTATATATGGAACACAATTATGCACAGGTTCAAATGACACAGGCTCTTTTATGGGGTCCTCTTCACTGTAGGTGGTTTATGCACAATGATGCACATGAAACAGTGAATTAATTTTGGAGTTTTGCCCTGCCAGACGTGTATTTTAACACTGCATACTCAGGGTATGCCCCCGAAGACTTGTGACAAAGCCACAAATGTACTCGGGTGGGACCCACGACCTCCTGCTTACTAGTGAAACAGTGAGGCACAGTTGTTGGATAGCACAAAAGTGCAATCTGATATTCCTGTGAGGGATAGTTGGTGTAGTGCACAATATGACAGCTGTGCTTCTTTGTCCAGTTTACAATCTGACCCCAAGAGTGACTTCAGCATAGGAGGGGTTTTAATGAGACCATGCCCAAGGACCCAGTTTGAAATGGTTGACTTCATGTATACCGTGAAATCGTCCATCATTCAAGAGACATTGGTTTACAATGTATAGTTAACTGTATTTGTTATTCAAACTTGCGCCCTGTTTGTAGTGTTAGCATCTCCGGAAACATTCAGAAGTGCTTCATTTTTTCTGGTAAACAGGTTTCGAGTGTCGTCTTTTTTGTTCTATTTGATGTTTGATAGGGAGCAATCACATCAATCAAGCATATGTCAGAGGGAACCACCGCTTAGCAAACCAAAGTTGGAACCACCATCTCCGAATGCTGAACCACGCTCTGTCCTCCAAGACCTCAAGAGAGGCATCTTCCAACCCATCCAGTCATTCCTCCTCTTCTTCAATGTGGACCTCCTGACCAAAATTTGTGATCTGACCAATGCCGAGGGGTGGCAGAGGATCCTCCAAGAGCCCTCTCTCGCCAGCGAAGACGGCTCCTGGAGCGAGGTGACGGTGAAAGAGATGTACGCACTCCTGGCGGTGGTTTTGATGATGCGGCAGCACCCGGATGTCTGCTTTGGAGCCTTCTGGCGGGAGCAACCAGACCAGTCGGGCTGCTGGCCTAGGGAGTTGATGAAACGCAGTCGGTTTTTCACCCTCCTCCAAGTGCTCCGGCTTCATGTATCAGAGCACATGGACGACACTTCCAAAGTTGACGTGACCTACCAACGGACAGCAGCAGACAGCGAAATCCAGCAGTCTCAATCCAGTTTCATCAAAGATGGTTTGCCACCGAAGGGACTGAAATACATCTTTGATCACATAGAGAGAATATTCCAAGTTTTCTTTAATGAGTTTGAATTTCAGTGTTTTGAGGATGTCTCGTTGAGTGATCAAAGTTATCAGGTAAAAATGCAAAATTACATGCGGATCTCTCCATCGTCTTTTGACACACCCGTTGATAAAACCTTAGATTCCCAGTCAAAGTCGGAGAAGGTAAGCCACGTGGAACCAATCACAGACTTGGCTACTTGCAACAGAGCAATATCAGCTCAGGGAAGCTTAACATCCAACCAAGTTGAAGAATCAGGAAAGAGAGAAAATGAGCTGGGCTCATCCAAAGTGAGATCAGAAGAACGTGAGCGGGATGGAAAGCTATCAGATCTGGCATCAAGTACTTCAAGCAAACTGCCTTCCATTCACAGCAATGGTATGTCCAAGATAACGCGCATGTCAAACAAAATCAAAGTAAGATGGCAGCAGGGTAACCTTCTGAGTGTGATTATTACCAAAGATAGTACCAGGGCCTCTCCAATCACCTTGAATGCCACGACCGACAAGTATGGGACTGAAGATGGACAAAGCGGATCACAATCCTGGAAAGAGGTCTTTGTACCCTGCCCAGAGTTGGTGTACCGAGATTGTGCTTTAGGATTGCCTTGCAATACTACAGACTCGGTTAGCGGAGATCGTTCTGGCTGGGAAGGGCTTGGGAAATCATTCCTCTATCACTATCTGCACTTAGCCGTTTACTTTGCTTCATCCAGAGAAGTCACGCGAATGCATCTAGGATCAAACAAGTTGCTACCAGATTTAGATTCTTTAGAACGGATCATCAAAGGCTTGGCTTTACTTGGAAAACCAGATTCCATTTTGCAGTCGGATTCTGACAGCGAAGCGAGCGAATCAGACACAAGTTGCTACATGATGTCAACGGACCACAGCGACAGTGATGGCCTAGACGACCAGGACTGCAAGAATAAGGCAGGGCGACCGAAGCCGCATAAGTATGTGCAGGCCCGCAGCCGGTTGGGACGCAAGTGCGCCCTCTGTTGGGCACTGTACCAGGAGTCTCGACAGGTCCACACGCGCTGCACCCGTTGCGGCTGGCACCTCTGCCTGTCGCAGTTCCGCAATTGCATGCAAGAGGCACACCAAGACAAAGAAATAATGAAGCAGCTGTGGGACAAGGACGCTAATGATGTACAAAGTACCAGTGATACAAGTGAAACAGTGAATTCATAGGCGTTTATTCCAATTTCAGGTTTGTGGATGTTTCTACAGCAGAGAATGGGCTTCAACTCAGGGAATGAAAGTTATAAAATATTAGATAACATAATTTAAGAACTCACAGACTTCCTTCTGGAAAGCCAGAGAATTACATTTATATCATACATGCACCATCAGAATATTCCAGTATCAGTGAGGTCACCAGTGGCCCCCCCACGTTTTTGACTGATGGGCTAGCCTTTGGGTGGGGCATAATGGATCAACCTGTGAAAAGCTCATGCCTCATAGTCGAACAACTGGACCACCCCCCCCCCCTTTGGAAATCATTCTGCCACCAGCACACACTATCACACAATAGAGGGTGCAGTTTACAGAATGTGCCCAAATTCAAAACTAACAGAATGAATACTCAGCAAAACACTTTGCTTTGTGGAATCGAATGCATCTTGGAATCAATTAAAGTGATCTTGATCCACAGAGGCGTGTTGGCCAAAAGAATGTTTTCCAGGACAGGAAAAAAGGCCAGAAAGTTTTTGTTCCCAGTTTAATGAACTTGGATATTGGCTATGCGAGTGTATTCAATTGTATTGTCCTCTTTAAATTTATTTACACGTGTTTAAGTAACTTTTTACAAAGCCATTTGGAGAAGACTGGTGTAAATATTTGTGCAATTTGTAGTATTTTTAACTGAAAATAAATATGACTTGTAAATAAATTTTGAAGAACATTCACATATTCTGGAGACTTTAATTGACTGATTTCTGTATTTGTTGGCTTTGTTACAATTTGTTTTTGGGGGGTGCTCTTTGTCAAAAGGTTGGAAGACCCTGTAAAAAACACAAAATCATATGGGGTCTTATTTTGCATATAATCAACAGCGACAATGCTATGTAGTTCCCTGCCCCTCCCGGAACAAGAATTTCCAAACCCTCCAGCAACAAATCCAGGATCCCGAGATACAGCAGTCCCTTAGAGTTTGATCTGTCCTCTGGTATATGTTTCTTATAAAATTTGCTGTCCTTTTAATACCCCCGGCCTACACTGCAAGTGGAAAGTAGCGAGGAGAATCATCGATTGCCCTAAGTCAATACCCTCGCCTTGAGTGCGAGTCAGGTCACCCTCCCTCGTGCAGATGCCCCGCCCCTTCTTCTTTGATTGGAGCAACATGTTCACGAGAGGACTTGGACAAGTCAACACGGTAATGCAGTCTGGCGCCTTGCTAAGAAGTTAATCCGGCTATGAACAGCATAGGGGAGGTGTCTGGGCTGAATACACGTGTCAAAATTGGTAAAAGTACCCGCGATATAACAGTGAACACTTAACAGAGGGTCGATCATGAACACGAAGGTGCAGTGCAGTGACTGCTTATTGAATTTACCAAATAATCTCCCAGTTTATTCAAGCATAGTCTTTTTGAAATATTTTAATGATTTTTCGTTGGAGTTAGCAGAGAACAGAAAGTCTACGAGCCGTAACGACCGTATAAACCGTCAATTTCCAAACAAAAAGTTGCAGTTGACTTGATCATGCTGATCGACTGATCGATGAATGATAGACGTGATCATGGATCATTGGATGGTGGTTGAAGAAGTTGACAACATCGTTGGATATGTCACATTGTCCTTGTCACTTATCAGCATATTATTAGGCCCTATTGTGAACACAGTGAAGGGCATGGGACCCATGATGAGTCATGGGGGTCATGACTGGGGTAGGCCTAGGGCCTGCTTCCAGGCACTCTCGATGTACATAGACCTAGGCTATCATGAGGCCTATTGCCAGCTAGCTCATGCCAGTGTATCATGTGCATGTTACGCTCCAACTATAGCATCAGTCCATACTATAGTTGGACCCATCCCAACTACAGTTGGGTCCGTCCCAACTAGAGTGCTACAGTTGGGCCGGCCCAACTACAGCAGAGAGGTCCTGTGTGCATGATGTGCCCAGCATGTGCCAAAGTCATATTGTTTACAAATGTCATGTCATTGGTCATAGGGCTAGATGAACAGATGAAGTGCCACATTTTTGATGAATTGTGTCAAGTGTGAGACACATTGACTTGGATAATGTTTAGACATTTCCCACAGACATTGCTCAACAATAGTTGGGCAAGCCCAACTGCAGCACTACATTTGGGACCGTCCCAACTATGGTTGAGACTTGTGCTATAGTTGGGACGTAACACGTACATCATGGTACATGCATGGTGTACATGTACATCATTAAAATGGTATATGGCACAACGTAGTAACACTTACTCGAGAACTGTGGGGTTCATCATCCGCCGCACGAGTGTAGGCCTACACCACAGTTCTAAGACTTGGGGTTGACTAGCCCGATGAGTGCAGCCTTGATACTCGCCTTGCTCTATGCGACTATGATACACCAAGGCAAGTATCCAGACACACTCGTAGGTATAGGGGTAGACAACCCCGTGTGTCTGCCTGACAGTCATCATGGCCACAACAGATTCTGGATGGTGAAATGATTGGCACGATTTCGCTGGTCATGCCGGTTGCCTGATTTGCAGTAAATAAAATAACTTCTGTGAGACTAAGAGCTTACATGTTTTTTATATACTTCTAAAAACTGGAAGTCCCCCAAGTGGGAACAAAAGAAATCAACTAATGGGTAATTCCAGAAATTAGGGGTCAATTTTTTTCGTGCCCCTGTCACATCTGACATATGATTTTGTAAGATCAGAACACATTTTCTAATTTCTATGAGTGATGAATTTATGCAAATTACCTGCCAAACAAAAAGTTACATCGTTTGAAATCAATTCCAGTGATATTTCCACGTCAGATAACGAAGGTCAGATGTAACGGGCACAAAAATGTCACACTTCTGGACCATTAATTTCTAGAATTACCCTAATACACGTACATGTAAAAACCATTTGAAGTTTTATGTAGTCCCATGATCAGATTTGTAGACATGCATTTACTGTACTTATGTCTTCTTTTAAGGGCAGGATTGATGATCCATGATCGCAGCTTTTAAAAAATGGAGGAAGTTCATATACTCCAGGTTCCAGTCCTTAGTGTGCCAGAGAAGCCTCACATTTGTGACATTTGTGGTAAGGGGTACCTCCACGCCAGCAAGCTTGTGATCCACCAGCGTGTCCACACGGGCGAGAGACCATACACATGCGACCTATGTGGCAGGAGCTTTGCCGAGAAGGGCAGTCTCAAGAACCACCGCCGCACGCACTCGGATCAGAAGCCGCATGCCTGTGATATCTGCGGAATGGCCTACACCCGTAGGAGCGGCCTACTGGTCCACATGCGGGCCCACTCGGGAGACAGACCATTCATCTGTGGCCTGTGCGGCCGGGCATTTCCGCAGCAGAGCGATCTGGACAAGCATAGCCTCTCCCACAACAACAGCAGGCCTTACAAGTGCGACATCTGCGAGAAGGCCTTCGACTTTCGCAGCAAGCTCATGACTCACCAGCGGATGCACAGCAGTGAGAAGCCTTTCGTCTGCAACATATGCGGCAAGGCCTACTCACAGCGAAGCAGCCTCAACAACCACCGGATCACTCACGCTGACGACAAGCCCCACAGCTGTGACGTTTGTGGCCGCTCGTTCAACCGGAAAACTCACCTCATGGCCCACCAACTAACCCACTCATTTGTGTGCGGCGACTGCGGCCGCTGCTTCTCAGATGAGAGCGATCTCAGCAAGCACCAGCTCACTCATGAGAAGCCATACTGCTGCGAGTTCTGTGACAAAGCCTTCAAACACTCCAGCAAACTCCAAGCTCACAAACGCACTCACACGGGCGAGAAGCCCTTCATCTGCCAAATCTGCGGGCGGGCATTCTCACAACCGGGCAGTTTAAAGACTCACCAGGCTATCCACAACAGAAACCACGCCACACAGCTGCAACTCGTGCAGCAAAGCCTTTGCCAATCCGAACAATCTCATCACACACCAAAGGAGTCACAGTGATGAACAGCAATTCTTTGTGGCATTAGCGTCAAAGGTTTCTGTACCTCAGTGGACATTTAAACGTTACCTCACCCACAATCAATCCGTATAAAGTCCTTTCTACAATCCCAAAACAGAGCCTTAAATCTTCCTTGTAAGTAGGGTATTGTGAAGGATTGTGGTTGTGAATGATTTTGAAGGAAGCATTGTCCTCAAGGTCAAGGGTTTGACCTAAGCTTGGATGGTATTGTATTTTTAATACCCCGATATTTGTGATAAAAATACTGCAATGTATTCACTAATACCGCAATATTCTGTGAAGTAGGGTATCAGGTGTGCGTAATCAAAAAGCAAGGGTGATAAGTAGCGACTCCTGGGAATGCCAACAACTACTGACTTCCAGTCCCACTCTAAAAGCTGCACCAAAGCCACAAACACAATGACGGGGGACAGTGAAACTTCAAAGGGTTTTGGCTGGTGGGTGCAAAGTTATTGCTAAGTGATAGAGCAGACATGACACTGGGTGACTTTTCCCACAAGAGATGGAGTGAAATATGACAATATGGTGGTTTTCCTTTATTCTCAAAGCATAGTAACAAGAATATCTTGGTATCGAAATTCCATACGGTATATTTACCGGTATTTCAGTACTTATGGATCACCACACCAGTCGGTATTTTTCGGTATTGAAAAATATCGTCACTATTCGGTAATACTGAAATACAATCCAAGCCTAGTTTGACTTTGTGCTGTTTATGCTCAGCCATGCTTAATGTAAGATTTCAGCTCTCCCAGTTTTGCAAAATTTAAGTTTTACAGAGAAATGTACTCAGCCGAGCACTTCAAGAGTATGTTTGTCCTAAAAACGTAAGTAAACAGTGATGGTCTGAGTCAGGATTAGCTGCTTCGTAATCTTGACCTTTGCCAATGTAGCATGAAATACCAATGTACAGTATTTCAGCTTTGTTCCCTCCTGACTAGTTAAATATTGCGCCGAGAACGTGGTACTCGAAAAGTACTGGCCCAAAACACTAGCATCACGCCCCATTTAAAGAAGCAGTCCCTCTTCCACCCTGCAAAATCTGCTAAACTTACCGTCAGGTTCTAGATTCTGAGAAATAAAGATAGCCTTTTAGCACAAGATGGCCATCCCGCCGTGGCATTTGAAGCAAGATGTGGGACGGAGAGAACCCCCCCCCCGCCTTTGTGTTGGTCATTGCTTGATCGGAATCTCAGGAATTCTTTACAGACTTCTAGGGGGGGGGTGTGTTGGGTAACAATAGTCTAGAGTGTGTACAGGGATTGGACAGGTAAGGGAGGTACCCCTCCGTCCCATATCTTGCCTGGTATACGCCGTGGCAGACAAACTTTGTGTCCACTCTTTTTGTGTCCGATAAATAAAATGGGACCTTAAAATCACTGCCCCGTAGCAATGGACATATATGTACGGACAAGGGTGTGAAATGTAAGACTTTTTCTTTCTTTGATACTTTTCCTTTCGGAAGAAATTAATAAAGTATTCTTAAATACTTGTAGTTAAAATTGCATCAAAGGTTCATTTATATCATTGTCTTTTAAAAGGCAAGTATGTCATGTGGTCATTTTTGTGGTCATTGTCACTGTGGTGTCGTCATTGCCCTTTTTGGGGGGTCCAATAAATTTCCAGCAAATAGTTGGATTACTTGTTATTCTGCCTGGTGCAAAACCAGCCCCACCCGAAGAACAATAAACATCCCCTTCTGAGAGCTGAGTCTGGATTTAAGTCCAACCCTGACCCCCCCTCCACTTTGTCTGCCAATTGTGGAGTCGTCCCAGCAAATACAGGAAAAAAATATATATTACAACTGTGAACAAGTGCAAACGATGACGAAACATTACATAACACATTGTTGACAATGGTACATGTAATGGTGTAGTCAGATTTATCTTTTATAATTTCCACCCATCACTTTTTGTTTAGAGCAGAGGGGGTTTCGACCCTGATCCTCCCCCCATCCGAGCCTGCAACCTTTTATCAAGGAAGCAATATCATCCTGAACATGAATGAATTTGTCTTTAATTTCATGTGTTTCATATCACCAGGCACTAGACATTCACTAAAGGAGTCCGATCCATACGAAAGCCCTAGGGCCATAGTGTTATGTTTTCAAAAAGTAAGCACCGTCCGTATACGGTAATTAACCTCGTTTTATACTATATAAGGTGTATTTTGTTATCCAAGTTCCTTTTAACAATATATATTTTCCCAGTATATCCTTTATGACAAGATCTATTTTATTAGAAAAAATTATCGTATCTGGGGAAAAATTTCCATGTGACAAATTTTATAATAGTTTAATTTTTTTTTTTTTGGGGGGGGGTGATGTTCCATCATTTTTTATGCGACAATTTCGATTTCGTTTTTACAAGATGTATACACTGCAGTTGCATGTTACTTAGTAAAAGTTTGTAAAGCCCTACTCCAAGAAGAACTCTTTCGTTTTTACTTGAAATCCTTTTATAATTTGTAGGCCAAAGTAAGCTTAGATGAAGTTATAGCTTATGTCAGGGTATTAAACACCAACTAGCTGCATGGTTTATCGGACGGCGTTGTCTGGTAAAAATGACCTTGAAAAAATATGTCGCGTAACCTTCTGCTGTTAAAAATAGATCTCATGAACATAAAGTTGGAAAATTGGATCTCCTAAAAAAGGACCTAGAAAAGTATAACTGTCTTTGTTGAAACGAATTGAATAAAAACAAGTTTAACAATATATCTCATAGAACTTAAACAAGAACTAAAATCTCATTCGTAGAAACTAACTTGAATAATAAATCTCGTGAAAGGAATTTAAACACTAAGATGTTTTATTTTTTTTTGAAATTGTATACTTCATAGTTTTACAGTTCTACTATCAAATGAAAGTCAGGATACCGACAAGGAGACGCATAAAAGTCAAGCGCTGTATGAAAATTAATCGAAATTTCTTCCTCAACACAAACAATCTGGCATGTCAGTGACCTGCTGGGCGATCTCTCCAAGTTCCAACTAATAAGTTATTAATAGCATGGTGGTTCGATGATGGCGCTGGGGAATAAATTTCAACAAGTTCACCCTTTGAAGGTTTTATGCCCGCAGAATTTTGACACAGCATTCATCACTTTTTTATGGTGGGTAGTTGTTGCGCCAATTAGACTAATACACAATAACATATGAACTAAAAATTCAAAAAATGCCAAATCAAATCGTTTCAATTGGTTCAAATTGCCGGAAGAGTCCCGGCGAACCCTCGACATTAATGGAACAGTCCATATGTCACATGATTTGCCCGAGGTCTCCAGCTGACCTACTTGCGAAATTTTCCTCACTCGATGTTGAAACTTAACTGTACTTGAGAGTGAATGAAGTCTACAAAGCCCGCGAAGATTTCAGCTGGGAATCCTCAACGGCGGTGAAGACGAGGGGCATTCCTGTTCACTTCCTCGAGACCAGACAGGCTAGGGCCTTGTTGCATTCCCAGGGTTTGTGGGGTAAGTTAACCCTTTGTCCGAAACAACTCGGCAGTGTTGCTACTCGGACATGTCGGACCAGGTGACAGCATACTAGCACAGTCAGTCAACTTTTGCACTGTTAAGCATGTTAGGCCCACCAGTGCCACGTCCTGCTGACGTGACCAGGCGGCTGAGAAGCGAGACTGAAGAGGCCTACACGACAAGTTGTGTATATGTGGGCCTGCATGGCTCTTGGCCTAGCCATACATGCCATGCTACTTGCTAGCTTAGCCTAGGCAGCCTCTCACAGACTCAGTCTCAACCTTATCAACTAGTAATTTTAGTAGTATGATGCAGGCCTAAACAAATTACCACAGTGCATAGCCATAGTTAGTAGCCTAGGCATCACTCAAGTTTTGCTAGGCCTACATTTTGATTGTACAGAATTTCTCTGCTGCCACGAATAATATTGTTACATCACTATTAAGTTAGATTATTTTTACAAGTGCTTTTGGGGAATGGTTTGATATTTCTCCCAGAACTCAACTGTGAGCCACACTCTCATGACTCTCTGAGACTCTGTGATTCATGTCACAGGTCGTGATTGTTATTGGTTTGTAACGCTATGGAATTTTGATTGTCATGATTGTGCCCAGTTATTGCACCTAAAACTGCATTTCTCTCAACATGCTCAATCAAATCTTCCACTCCCAACCAAAAGCCTTCAAAATGCATGGTTGATGGACCGTGTAACTGGCTATTTTGGGCAAAATCCAGACCTTTAACTTACTTTCCTGCCTCTCTTCACAAACCGATCTGCGCATCTGAGCTGAGCTGCATAATGTGGCGTATGTCCAACGACACAACCTCATTTCCATGGCATGGTTTAGATCTTGCTGCACCGTGTTGATTCCCAGTGAAGGAGCGTGCACTCAGCCAATGGAGTTGAGGTTGCCAATGACGCGATATTGGACCGGTTGCCGTCCTTGTACAGTACATTCAGAGGACTGCGACTGGACAGGAACCAGTCTTTACCGTGTTAACGGCCATGGGCCACATTTATGCAGCTCAGATGTGGTGTGTATATATGTGGTTTACCTCGGTTCCTATTAGCGTTTTAGCATAAAGGAGCTAACCCCACCCAAAATCACCAGTTGATGCCAAACCGAAATCAATGTAAACTGGTTTATTTGTTGCACAAAAGTGAACGTGAATTCGTGACACAAAGGTGTCGGGACGTCACATCTGCTTCACTTTTGCATTTCCCTTAACCCTAAGCCTCCTCAATCCTCCAACAGGTGAAGGATTCAGGAGGATTAGGGTTAAGTATGTATTAACTGGCCTGAGCCTGACAAAACGATGGACAAAACTGATCCATCCCAGAGTCAGTTTTTTGGGGGGTCGGGTCAGGATTTCAATTTGGGATCAGGTTTGCACAACGTGAGTCGACAGGTCACTCAACAGCGGTAATCTTTATTGCCCCGTGTCAGACTCAAAGGGCCATCTCCTCTCTGTCATGCCTGTCCTATTACATGAAAGGTTTGCTCAACATATGCTGATCTTTAAAGAAATCCACATTAGTCTCAACTGGATTTGTCACCAGCATCATTTCACCAGAAAGTGTCGAGGCTTGATGAGGTCAGCAAAACACTGCTCTTGTTCAAGGTCAAAATAAGGTCAAGACAGAGTAGTGGATAAAATCTGGTACACTGAGTTCTTTAATTTCAGCTGAACATACGGGTGATTTAAATTCTCCATACTAAAGACACTTGCTATTCCTCCTGATTGGGGGCAAGCTTTTGCTTAGTTACATAAGAGATGCCTTGCACCGATACACTGTTTTCAATGGATAAGAAGGGCACAAAGGAACCAGTCCATTCCAGGTCACTGTGCAAAACCTTGTCCCACATCATGAGGCTCATTGGCAAAAGTATTTGGGCCAACTTGTTTTAATCAGATTGATTGTACATGTACAGTGGGCCCCCAAATAGGGTATGAACCCTCTTATTAGCCTATGCAAAGACACATTCTTGACGCAGTTGTCCTTCATGTATCAGTCAAAACCAGTCAAATTTCCCATATCAGTGCATGTGCGTGTGTGTACTGGGGGAAATCAAGTGGAAGCAATTTTTGACTGTTTTTGACGGTTACAGCAAAATGAGGGTTAATGTTAATCCATGCAGTTTAAATACATGTTATACATGTACATGTACATCCTCTGTAGACTGCCTCATGTGTGTTTGGTACATGTGCATGCGCTTATACATGGGGCCTTGTGGGGTACCGGAATAATGGGAAGTACCCCACATGGCCAGTTTTTACCTTGTGGTAAAATTGGTACCTCACAAGAATTTCACGAAACTGATATTTGGCAATACATGTAACTCAAAAAGGGGAAAACTTTGATGGGTAAAAATCTGTAGCAAATTGAAGTGTTTTATATAAGGGACATATGGTCAAAATTTCAACCCAGGAAACTGAATTTGGTTTAAATTGGAGTGATTTGAATTTTTTTGCATGTTGTGTGGGAGTTTTGTACACGAGAACAAAGGAAATACCCCACAAGTCCTGGTATAGCTGTGTAAGGGTGTGTGTACGTATCCTTTGAAATTGCAGCCGTAAACCTCACTGCTAGTGCAAAGCTAATAGTCAGCTATCTGTTGTCTGATTAGATGCAGTTGTCAGGGTACATGTATGTAGTTAAAATTTGATGGCTTGGCGGTTGTAAGAGAAGACTGGCATGGCTGATAAGATGGTTCCACATCACACCATGCTGTGGCATGACTATAGCCCTTAAATTACATCATACTCGTATGTGACCCGTGCCCTTATTTTTATGAGGGATGGGTGGAGCTTACCAAAGTTGTGTACAGTGTATTTTGTAATTTATGTTGGCTCAGAAATCATGGAAATGAGGTGAGCATTCATATTTTGTCGCATTATATACTTTGAATTCCCTGCACGGTTAAATTGAAATTCTCCCAAATAACCCATCAATAAGCCTTTTGTGAGTTAACTTTGACCCAAATCTGGTATACTGAGTTCTTTAAATTCTCGTGAACATAACACTTGAATTCTCCTCACTAAAACCATTGTTGCTATACATGTACCTCTTGATTTGGGGCAAGCTTTTGCTAAGTTACATAAGAGATGCCTTGCAACAATACACTGTTTTCAATGGATAAGAAGGGCACAAAGGAACCAGTCCATTCCAGAGATGGTGGTCACTATGCAAAAGCTTGTCCCGAATCACGAGGTATAGCAACAGTGTCTTTAGTCTGGGGAATTCAAATTGTTATGTTTACTTGCAGTCAGATAACTCAGTGCACCAGCTTTTATTCAATTTAACTTGCAAAAGGCTTATTACAGAAATGAACAAGTAAATTGTCCATGCCGGGCTTAGAGGCTACAGGTACCAAGCACTGGCTGATTTTGCACCACCTCGCACAGCACGCGCGGCCCACGCAATGCAAGGAGACTGTCTACGACAACAGTCAAATTTCACTTGTCTGAGGTCCCTCCGACTTTTGCAGATTTTGCCTTATAGGAACTTTATATTACTGTAACAGGAAAAAAACAATAAAGAGTACTGTAAATAATTGGAACCTCCATTGCCTTGGTATAAACAGAATGTTGTATTCACCCTAACCACCAAGCATATTGTTTGGCTTACAGTACTCAGTACTACAAAATACTAAGTAATAGCCAGAGCCTGAAGGACCTAGCGCTACAAATTACTACTTCTGGCTAGGTTACTTCCATTGTTACTCATACAGAGAACAATAAAGCCATGCATTCATAGTGCCAGAGCACTGTATGGTACATTACTGTATCTTCTCTATTGTTTTTTATGGCTTCAGAGAACAATGCGGTCATATCCTCTTACAAGCGGCAGCACTGATTTCTACGTTTTACTACAAGTAGTAGTAATTTGTATTATGTAGGGTTAACTGTGTTTTTATTAATGAAGATCAAGTGTACGCGTGTTAGGAACACCCTAGTACTCTTTAAAAGAAGTAAAATTGATGAACAAAATTGTAGGAAACTTACAGTATAAGTTTAAAAAATTTATATTGACTTTGTGAGTCAGAAGGTACATGTACATGTATGTATTTATGAGTGGGAATAATATCACCTGAGCTCGGGTCATTATTAGCATCTATTCTCCCGTTGCAGTCTTACATGTATGCGAATATACGGTACCATAGAAGACCAGACAGGCACATATTTATTAGTATTATCGTACGGTATTTCTTGAATTGCCGCATTCCATTTCCAGCATTGTACATGTACCGGTATATTGTGGGTTCGTTGATCGTTACAGATTCTGCAGGACGTTCTAATGTGTGTCGTGATAAGCAATGAATAGACCGTATTTGCGACGTCCCCAATTTCAGTCGTATTTCTGAATGCACAGTATCAATTTGATACCTGTAACGGGATGGAACCAGGTGATTATTGGGGTCGGAATGGAATCGTAGAATATAGTCTGGTTCTTTGAATTTAATGTTTTCAAATAAATACACTACGTTTTGGAATAAGACTGAAATTGGGGACGCCGTGAATACGGTCTATTGCTAAACCCTTCAACCTTACATATAATGTTGACCTCTTGTCTTCCAGTTACTAGATCCCTACCATGGGCAGACTGACGTGTAAATGCCTGAACATCAGCATTCACACCAAGGCCGCACCTTCACCGCTAGACCGGACCACTTTGCGACTGCCGGCCGGCGAACGAGAGCGAGGCTTCTTCAAGGGTCAGGTGGCTGAGATCCAATTGGATCTTGGAGGGATATCGGAGGTAAATCGTGAAGTGTCATTTTTTCACATCTGTAAGGTTAGGGATGAACCACATGCTACCGTTGTGTTTGGGCTAATTACAACTGTACAACAGCCAACCCAAATCCACAACAATTCCTACCGGTAGGTCATGAGTTGTCACCCCGCTTGGCCTAATTGTGTCCCACACACCAGCAGTCCAATCACTTGCTCTTTGCACTAACCAGCAACCCACATACGGAGCCTTTGACATGTTTGAGCACACACGCTTCTGAGTTGGCCTCATTGTTCAAACTTCAGGGGCCAATTTCTTAGCGCTGCTTAAGCACAAAATTTGCTTAAATGTGAAAAAAAAAACCTTGCTAGACAAATCAGGTTACCAGCCCAAACTCCATGTGATGCACATTTGTATATTAGTTTGGAATGGTATTCACCTGTCTTTTGGTTAGCATGACAATCACGTCAATTTTGAGCTGGTAACCTTTATTGTTTAAGCAAGGTTTTTTGTGCTTCAAAAGCAAAATTTGTGCTTGAAAGTAAGCATCCCTGTGAAATTGGCCCCTGTGTCTTTCTCCTTGAGGTTCAACTCGCGCATGTACCGGTAACTACCTGTACATATAGATTTCACTGTGAAAATAATTTGCCCTGACTTGAGGCACCCCCTCACCGGCATGTCAAAGGAAAGACAGGTTTGGTGGGAATCATTCTAGGGGGTGCATCTACGGGTATGTTTTTTTGGAACCGGGTACTCATTTTATGTCAATACTGGGTACCTGGACACCCTTGAAATACATGTACAAAGAACACTTATCAAATGGCTCTGCTTGCAGTCCTGGCAGACCATATGCGTGAAACAGGGCTCTTTTTTCGTACAGAGAAGCAGCACATTGTCCCGAATGTTAGAGGGGAGTCTCTCACACCCTTTTATTAAACAAAACCTTTAATTTCTAACAAAAGCAGCTCTGCTGATCCTTGAACCAGAGTGATGAACACAGAACCTGTTTTTTCAGCAGCACCGATGACTTTTCAGCAGTTCGGCCTTTCACTATCAATTTTAAAGTTTGTGTGCAATTTTATTGGTGAAGTTTTTTTCACGAGCACTTGCCTGAAAAATAGATCTGGGTTTTGAGATGAATGGACGGGTATCCGTGTGCCGGTACAGGCTTAAATTATTCGATGTACCGGCACGGTACCCAACGCACATGCGGATATTGTACATTCCCACAGAAAATGCATCCCCGTGCTAATCCTGTGCCAACTTATGTACCAGAAGTGGTATCCTCTGCCAAATTACCAGTCGATCAATTAGAAGAGGGTTGTAGTCTAAACCGTCAAGACCAGAAGCAAGGGCAGTCACAAATAATGAGTAACAAGGTGTGGACAGTGGCAGAGGAATTCATGTTTTTGCTGCTGTGCATTTTAATACATGTACATGTAGCTTGTGACTTTCCAACTAGAGGCCTTGTGATCGTCTCGTGGGAGGGGATCTTATGATGGTCTTTGAGGGTCTCACCAATGGTCTGACGGTACAGCACTGGAAAGGGCTAGGCCAGAAATTCGAAAAGGATTGAAATGATTCCAGATTTTCATGAGGATACTTTGTACATGCTGTAGGCGGTACCGTACAGGATGGCCAATTTTTTTTCCTGCATGGTCAACATGTACATAATGTACATGTATGTATGTAGGCGTACATGTACATTGGAAAAATGACGATTAGATAAATATCTGAGGGCTCAAAACATACAGTACCAAACTTGACCACTGTTCAGTTTACTGTAGTTATAAGTCCCATCCTTTCAGAAGACATAGGCCATCAAAAAAAGTCATCCACCTGGTAACTACATGTCATGTACTTGTATGTCACCCTACATGTACATGTACCGACATGACTGGTCACCGTACATGTACAGTGCATGGCATGTACATGGAAATCTTGACTGAAAGGGCAGCTTTGTCCATGTGAATGGATCCTGTTCTTTGAACCTTCTTGAAGACGGGGAACAACCATTCATTTGCCAGTCGCAAAATAAAAACTACCTTTTATGTGTGTGTGTCTTTGGGGGATTTTTTTTTTATTTGAGCATAGATCATTAGATGTAGTCAGCATGCAAGTGAAGAGTATTCTACTTACAGTAGTGCTAGTGTAAATGTTTTTAAAGTTTTCTAGTATATTTTCTGGGCCCACCAAGCTTTAAGTGTTTTAAAAGCAGTCAAGATACTTCTGTGGGTACTTAACAGTGGAAAGCTTTTTTTTAAAGCATTCCATTGCAGCATGTCCATGATGTAGTGCACAGGTGTGCGTTGTGTGTGTACATGTATGCGCTGTTGCACAGCACCACTGTGCAGTACATGCATGTGTCAAACAACACATAACAGGTTGAGGAAAAAAAAAAAAAACAGAAAAAAAAGTCCAGTGATTGATTGCGATTCTTATGAAAGGCTCCAAAGTTCACCCAGCCCACTTCACAGCACGTGCCGAAATGCTCGTCAATATTTACGTGTACGTGTATTTGGAATCAAGGCAGTGTGCAATCGGAGCTATTCTTGCATGATTACGTATTGTGGCCAAATTGTCGAGTTTAGCCATCGGCAGCTCATGTGACCTGGGGAAATCGCCTGATTGTGAAATGGGTACCGTATTGCTTAAAAGAAAGGACAGATTAAGTGGTAGCCGCTTGGATCGCATCACGCAATTTTAAGGATTAAAGGTAAGTTCCACCGTTGGTAAAATCACAAAAATGGGACTGCTGAATAATCTCTGAAAATCTCACCACCAGGAGGAAGAAAATAAACAGCAGCCTCGGTCAATCTACATCTACATCTACAGCATGTACAGACTGTTGCCGTCCAGAATTGCTATCGCTTTTGAGAAAAGAAAACTTGTATTCTGTTTTTAAAGTACATATCATACATTGCACCGGTACCTGTGTAAATTTTTGATTGACTTACATGTAATGGCTAATGTGTGTCCATACATGTTCATGTAAACATGTACAGCTACATACATACATGTACAGTACATGTGTATGTAGCCAACTACCGGTAGTCATGTGCGGGTAAACTTACATGTACACATGTACACATGTTCTTCTTTCATGTCTTTCTGTACATGTTGTACATGTATGTATGTAATGTACATTGGACATGTACATGTATTGATATACCCTGCATGTACACATGTTATGTAAGTCTGTGGGGATACAGTGTACAAGAACTTTGCACCCCTTTGGTTTTTGCGCCTACATTGTGAGAGTTTCAAACAGGGCCACCTTACTGCAGTGTCCTCATGCTGGTATCGGCCATCTTGAATCCAACTTAAAAGTGAGGCAATCCCTGTAAAAGTGTTCCAAAGGCGTACATGTACATGTAATAGACTTTTTTTCACCCATTTGACTCGATTGCACTCAAAGCAAACAATGCCACCACCTGTGGACCGCCATGGCCATGGTGACCGCATATATTCCTACGGGCAACTTCAACCACGTGCAAGCGTACATGCAAACGCTGCATGCTTGTAGCTTACATGTACCGCTACCATCACAATACTATGCACTCATTACCATCACAACACACTGCAATCCAGCATGATTGTGAAATCACAGGAAAAAGGTCTACTGGGACCAGAATGAACATGATGCTATACGTACCGGTACACTGTAATTATAGCAAAGTCATCAGGCCTCTCCCCTCAATAAATTCATGTAAAATGATATCCTAGTCTTCCAGAAAATGGCATACCGGTATCTCTCGAATGAAGCCCATAAAAGCTTCACAGAGGAGGATTTGGAAAATAAAAGTGCCATGCGTGTGATGTACATGTACATACACTGTACTGTACGTGTACACTGTACGTACATATGTAATGGATTTTCTTACCGGAAGGTAACAATGTACATACAGTATACACTGAATTGTCTAAGGGCCCCGAGCTGGACCAAGAGAGGGAGCTATTTTCCCAGCAACAGAGGCTCCTTTGGTATGGTTGGGGCTTCACTTTACTGGTTCACAAAGGACTCTGAAATGCACGCATTACCTGCACGTCGTTACCAACAAAATTGTACCGCGCATTTAAACACAATTGGCATGGCACTCAAATGCATCACCTTTTGAATAGACAGTAAAGTGTGCGGCAGTGCATGTACATGTACAGTAGCTCCAGCATTAGAAACGGCACACTATCATGACTATACCCAGAGTAACATACATGTACACGTACATGTAGAACAGTGCAATGCGCGATACAGTAATTGGTCATGGAATGACCAGAATCAGATTTCAGGAAGCAAGTTTGCTTGAAGGTTTGAATACGTAAACATGAACTGTAATGCTTTAATTTGATGTCATTCATTCATTCATTGCTGGCTTATTATTAAAATCTCAATCATGTGAATAGCAGCAAAAGGCTGAACTGCTGAGATTTTTACAATTAGACATTTCAAAAATACAAGAAATACAATATTAACAGAGGATTAAACAAACAGACGGAAAAAATATTTTAAGAGATAAATCTAGAACTACATGTACATGTATTTAACATAAAATATTAAGTACATGTACATGTATGTTGCAGAACATTCATCAACAGAGTTAGTAGGAAAAAAGTAGTGCACGTAAGCGCCCGTAGCATACTTAGCGCACGTAAAGTCATTCTGATCAACAGAAGTGGGCACATGTACAATTGATCTGGGATTCATGTTGAAAAATGGTCAGTCGGCAAACAGTAAAAACCCATGAAAACATTGCCAAGTGGTTCTGTCCTGCAACAATGTGCAGAGTCGTCGTTCTGATTTTCGTAGTCGGTAAGCTGCAGCAGGGAGGTGCTTTCTCAACGCAGTGTTGAGTGTGGATTTTGCAAATGACTAGCACAGTTTTCGCCTGCGTTCCTGCAATATGTCTGGCTCAAGTATTTGGAGAGCATTTCTGTAAGAGTCATATTCCAAACCAAGAATAATCTCGCACGCCCGTTTCAGTACCCGGTCTAGGTCCTCGGAATGTTTGCTAGTGATTCCACTGGTCTAAACAGGCACTGCGCACAGGACACACAAATGAAACAAAAACAGTAACCAAATCTTTGGAGTAAGGTGAAAATACTTCTATTTATGCAGCATGAAGAGACGTGGAGCACATAATCACATTTCATAACAATGCACTAGTATACATGTACCGGTATACATGTCCATGTCCCGGTACCTTTACTGTGCAGATTGACTTGCTGTTATTGTACTTGCGCTGTTTTTAAATTGGGAAAATTTGACTGCGCACCTCCAATATACATGTACATTCACGTACGTGTACATGTATGTTCAAAGCATTTATAGAGTCATCATTATGGTGTTTTATACATGTACATGTATGTAATTGTACTGCACACAAATGACATAATGTACATTTACATACGTGTACATGTATGTAAATGTTCGTGTGCATGTATGTACACATGTACATGTATGCCAGTATGGTACTGTACAAAGTTCTGCATGTCATGCCTGTACACATGTGCATGTACCATAAACATGCTCACACATACATGTACATACATGTACATGTACATGCAAGGAATAAGCACTGAGTAATGCTTGTACATGTACTTTGCAGTGCACCTGTACATGTAAGTCTTTAAAATTGTACCCCAGTAATTAAACACTTTTCAGTGAGAGTGTACGGTGCATGTACAATGTACAGTACATAAACTACATGTACATGTGTACAATGTACCTGGTACATGATTGAGTGGCATCTTTTCGAAGGAAGCAGAGCATTTCCTCTGCACGCCGCAAGTTGCTTTACGCATGTTTAAAAAATTACTGGCATTTCCTGCCTGTACGCATGTACTAGTATCATGAGGAATCCAGTTCAACCCAAAGGGCCCACTGCTTTGGCAATGCCCGTGCACGTCTACACACATTCACAACGATGTACTACCGGTCTACCGAGACGTGGTACCATGCACGTAACCGGTATGTGCTTGATTACATGTACACGCACCTGTTCATAAAGTACCTGCAGATGTAAATTGGTTGCTTTGGGGTTGCTGGAGAGAGACACTTGAAACCTTTGCATTGAGTTCCGAGCTCATTTACGAACCTTTAAATTCTTGAATGATGTGCATTTCTGGGCATCTGACAGGTATTTGATCGTACCGGTAGATTTGTCTGTTTTGGTTAGCAGTTTTAGACTTTCTTGGACAGGTGTTTTGTTTTATTTTCTTTTTTTTATATATATTCCAGAATTTCAGTACATGTATTTGTACCGGGTTGCATCCAAAGTTTGTGCGTACATTGTACTTGGTGGCTAGCAGATTTTGAAAGCTTGCTGGGCGCTGTGTTTAGCATGGCAGAGAGGAGAACTCTGTGGGGCCCAGGCTACAGCACTTTCAGAGTTCGGAGGGTGCTGCCACCAATCAGCATGCACTATGGCATAATGTATTTTTATTTTTTTTTTGTAAATTAAAAAGTGCACACGATATCTATCATGTCCGTGATGTTCACGTGTCCTTGGGATGTTCAGTAAGAATCTTGACCCATCGGAAAGTGATGGTAACTGTCAGCATTCTTCACCCACACCACATTAGTTGACTTATCGGGATATCCGAATGAGTCAATATGCCAGTACTGGGTGCGTCACAGAGGCAAGATTTGACAGGATCTTTCCTAATTCCCATATTTTATTTTCAGCAGGGATTTTCTTGATTCCAGTTTTTTCCAAATCAGCCATTAAAATTAGGAAATTCCTGAGTTTTCAATTACATGTACAGTGATTTTGTACGTGGGTAATTCCGGAAATTAGGTGTCCATTTTTTTGTGAGCCTGTCACATCAGACATGATTATGTACATTCAGAACACATTTTCTAATTTCCAAGCGTATTGAATCAATGCAAATTACCTGTCAAATAAATAGTAATAGTTTGAAATCAATTCTGGTGATATTTAATAATAATAATTTAGAATTTATAGTGCACCCTTTCCACCGAAGTTATCAAAGGCACATTACACTGAAAACTTATTTAAAACCAGTACACACAAAACCAATTTAAAAATCCAAGCACACAAAACTATTTAAAACCAAAGCAAATTATACAATAGTAATTTCCAATCAAATAACAAAGGTCAGATGTAACGGGCACGAAAATGTCAGTTTTGGACCCCTAATTTCTGGAATTACTCACGTACATGTACAACAGCTGATATACATGTACAGAACACTAGAAATGGGTACTTTGCCAAACAGGAATGTACATGTACAAATGTCTGGTGTTTGTCACTAACCCTACATTACTGAGGGGCGCTGAAACCCTCAGAAGATTATTTAATGGATATTTCATTTTCCTCCAATCTCCTCCCTGACATCAAAACTTTCTAAATGCAAACTCACAATGAGATACTAAACAATAGCCTTATGACTTCTGACTCAAGTTACACGTACATTGTATTTTCACATCTGGAGGTGGCCATGCAGGTCGGGCCTACCGTCTACCAGTACCGGACCACGTTGCCCCTTCACTGTTTCCTTCCAGGGCCGTTTTCCAATACTCAAGTCCGTCTCCGATCCTGAGCCTGAAGCATTTAAATCAAATTGGATTACTGTAATTTTTGGCTTTCTTGCATCTTATTTGATGTTCCGTGGCACTATTAGACTGATTGCTTCGCTCACAACTTCAAAGTCAGCTGGTAAAAAAACAGTTGAAGCCTGAGACGGAGCCGAAGTTGAGTATTTGAAAACGGCCCAGTTTTCAACTTTCTTGACCAGTATTGTTTGCCTATTTCCTGCCAATTAAAGCCTTATTACTGTATACTGTAGGCCTATGTACACATTACCCTAATCTTATTCCCCAGTCCCCAGGTCTCTGGGCAGTGTCTGTAAGCAAACAAATTGGTTTGACCCCATAAACAGCCTGGTCACTTCCCTGGAAAGGTCAACAATGCACCCAGCCAGACAAACAAGTTCAGACAACCATCAGTCCTATCTGCCCACCATAATTTGACTAAGGTTAATCAATACAAAGGTGGTTTCCAAGTTCTTGGTTTTTTATCTGCCAATTGGATTGGGGGAGAGTTTGGTAAACCTTTGATAAACTAATTACCAAAGTACATGTACAGTAATTGCGCCAGTAGGTTTTCTTGGAAAACTCCAAAGTACCAGTAGGCCTGCATTTAGGTATATGCACAACTGGGCATGTAAGGTGTAATTTATAAATGCCAGCACATGTACAATGCAATGTCTCATTGAATGGGCAGTTCCTTTACAAATATAGGTCATTGTACTGTATGGACATGTAACGATGCATGTACATGTACACTCACATCACGGAGACACGAAAAGTGCTTAAAATGTACAACTGTCCATTTTGGAGCAAAGCAAATACAGTGGGGAATTTAGCAGCTGTCGCCGAAACCCACGCCATCATTTTTGACATTTGGAAATTTGTGCTGTTTCTATGTAAAATGTACCCCCCACATGATACAGGGGCTGTACATGTAGACCTGCGTGTATCAACGTTTGGAGCAAGGGCGAATTCATCAGGGCATTCAGTAACTGGCGCAGTCAACCCACGGCAGTTGTTGACATTTGGAAATTGGCTACATTTTCATCTCAAATGCAGTTGTTCACTTAATACATGTACATGTACCTGTGCATGTACTGTACCACAGGTACATACGTGCAAATCAACCAAAAGGTTGAGTTTAGAGCAAGGCAAATTAAGTAGTGGGTTATATTTAGGGTGTGCAGCAGCTGTCACCGCAAACCTATGTGTGAGGCACAGTTACGGTATGACATTTGAAATTTGTGATGTTTCCCTTGAGTGTGTGTGTCAAATACTGTACTGACTCTCTGTAAGGCAGTTAGTGCTGTAGTCAAATCTAATCTCAAGTTGTCAGTCTCATTTGAATGCCCCAGTACACATTTGAAGCAAGATATGGGACGGAGAGAACCCCCCCCGCCTTTGT